TTTTTTAATAGGGTCGCAAAATTTATAAAATCATGTACCGCGTTTCATTAATGTAATATCTAGTAACCGTTAAAATTTCAATGCTTTGTCATTTTTTTATGTAAAGATTCATACAACCTTAAAGAATATTTAAAAATAATACAATGGCTGATATTTTGGTATAATAAGAAAGCGCAGTTAACGATGCATTTACGTTGAACGATTATATAATTATCAAGTTACAAACTAAACGCGATAATCTCGCCTAGTCTTCTTGTACACGTATATTGTTAACTGTTATGCTGGGCTTGCAGCTACTTCTTGGCAGAAGATTGATGACACGCAATCTCGCATGTCTGGGAATTTAATTTTAATGAAGTTTCCGATCACGTGAAGACCGAGGAAATCAGAGATAATTGTGTAGTTAAATTTTATAGAAAGGAAAAACTTCGTCTCCTGCCAGTGTTTAATACGTATTAAATATTTATACGTACTGACGTGATTAATTGATGTACGATAATTGATGTATAATGAATGAAGTTAAATGAGCAGATAAATTAATTATTTGTAAGCTGTTGTGCTCCTTCAATTTTCCCTCGACGAGCTTAGGCTTTCCAATCAGAGAGGATAGACTTCGTTTCGCCGAGAATTAATTTCGCGACCAACCGTCGAACAATCGGCGGGCAACAAACAGGTCCGGCTAATAAATCTCTTTCATCCGTTCCTTCGGAACGTCCGTTTCGCTTACGAAGCGAAAACTCGTGGAGACTGATCAGTGGGCAACGGGGTAGGGGAGATCTCGTCGGTTTCGGTAATCACCGAGCCGGCCGCAGAAACGAACTATTTCTTAGTCCGGACCGACCTTTTCCCCCTTCCCGCCGCAAGCTTAATTTCCGGCTCTAGGAGATACTTAATCCCGGTACTCGACGTCGTTTCCTGTGCCACGCCGAAGAAACATTAAAAAGTTCGCGTGCGAGGATCCGCGGGCCGAACTTTCCACTTCTTTCTCAACCACCCGCGTTCCTTTCTGAACGGAAGGATGCACAGAGGGGATTGGAAGCTTCCCGAGGAGGGATAATTCTTGGACGAGCTGGCGGGGCAATCAGCGGATGAACGTGAAAAGAAAGGCCTCCCGGTCGATCCGGAATAGGGAACGAACAGGGAATCTAATATCGAGGATTGCATTTGCTTTGAATCGTCCCCTAAGCCTACATTCCTTCTTGCTCTCCCTCCTCGTTAGAAATGCCTTCGTGAGGGAAAAAATCACAAAGATTCTGACTCCTCGCTCCCTCGCTCTGCTCTTATTTTTAACGAGCTGCACTGTACCGACATCTCTTACACAGTTAACAGTGCGCGCACTCACACAGTCTTCAAATGGTTTCGTCGACTTGTGGCTCGCGCGGTTTCGAGGAATAATAGGGAAATTTCTCTGCGGAGGTAATACGATTTCCCTGGGACAATCGAGGAAAGGGAAAGTGATTTTTTCCTGGAGTGAAAGGGCAGAGTTGAACGTCAGTTTTCAGACGATTCTCCGCGGCCACTGTTCCCTGATCTTTCCCGTCTTCAATTAAAATAGTTCTGGTTGTTCTTTCTTCTTCGACGCTGTTTTTCCTGAGGATGTCAGTATTTCTATTACAGAGAATTGTATTTAATTTATCACACAATTTCATCTACTTTTTTGTTATTTCCAATTTATCACATTTGAATTATTTATTTTATGTATTAAATTATTCGTTCCTTTTACTTACAACGTGAGGATTGAGAATTGTTCTTTCTAACCAATTCGAGATCTGTTCTCCATGAACCGCGTAATCTCTGAACGCAACCAATTTCCCACGCTTCATACATGTTAATCAGCGTCTCGCAAGCCGTCTCAGGAACCACTCCTCCATCAAACCAGCATATTAACACGTTCATCCGACCCGTAAATTCCAAGACCGCGAAATCATCCAAGCGTGGACGGAGATTTCAACCAGACGGCGGCGGCGGCGGCGGCGGCGGCGGTGCGGGCGGTTCTCGCGGAACTTTCTTCCCCTCTCTCTGTCTTTTCCACGATCGATCACTCCCTCTCGGCCACCGCGGCGGGGAACACTGTTTGCGCCCCAATCAATTATCCCGAGCGATTTTTTTTTTGTTCTCGCGGCGGCTCGGCGCAACGGTGGAAATTTTTCCAAGCCTAGGCATCTGGCAGAGTTGGCAGACTGGCAAGCGGAGAAAGAGAGTTTTCAAGTCCCGGGATGTGATTTCCGGCTCTTGTTTGCCCCCTAAGAGGCGGCGGCGGCGGCGTGTCTGCAAACTCGCGTTCCCTCCTTGTCTCTCACTTTCTACCCAGGTGTTCCGCGTGTTTCGAGCCGACCTTTCCCGTCCGGAGCCGGCAGCTGCGCCGGCAGCTGAGACTTTCGCAGATACCGTCACGAGCGGCGCGAAGGCGCGCGGCCACCGGCGACGA